GCGAATGGCGAGCTGCAAGGGCACTATCACCCCACCGCAGAAGGAAGCTTGGGGGTGGTGGGGGTGCTAAGCCCTAATCCTAATCTCTAAATCCTCCAAGTAGGGGTACGAGATATCCCTACTACCTACGTCCTCCCGGCCCCCTAAGTAAGGCTGGGGCTGCTTATGCTTAGTTTTTTTTTGGTAGGGGTTAGGTTTAGGCCTTTAGGGTTTTTAGGTTTTAGGGTTCGGCTCAGGGTTTCAAGGTTTGAGGGTTGTAGGGTTTCAGGGTTCCAGGGTGTCGGGTTTAGGGTTTTAGGGTTTGAGGCAGGCCCTCAACCCCCAAGCTTTCGGGTGTTGGAAGAGAGGCTAACCTGACGCAGAGAGCCCGTGCACTGGCAGAGAAGGGATCGGGTTTAGGGTTTGGGGTTTAGGGCTTGGGGTCTATGACAAACTTTATTCTTGCAACTGCTGCTGCGATCACTAGAGTAGTCCGGGTATTGCCCACGAAGTACCAGGTGATTGTATAGCAGTCAACACCTCAAGAGTTCTCTTACTTGCATGTCCAGGGCGTCGTGAGGCAAGTCTAACTAAGTCTTTTGACAGCAGCATCACTGCTACAATCCTAGCTTGTTCCCAAACTCGTCGCATCAGCCAATAGTATAAGGTTTAGGGCTTAGGGTTTAGGATCTCAATTCCCAGCAACACCCTTAATAACCCCCGTGATACTCCCCTACAGTTTCCCCTATATGACCTGCTTTAAGGAGTTAGCTCACATGACCTTGAGTACCATGCTACCAGCCTGTGCACAGGCTATGCAGGACCATTACTATCAACCAACAATCAGGATTGGCGCCAAGTCCTGAGAGTCTCTCAAACAAAGGGTACCTTTGGGACCCCAGTGCTAAACAGGGATTATGAGGGGATTATGGGGATCCTTATTTGGATCTTTCTGAAACGACATGGTAGCTGATCAAAATTCCTGTTTCCAAAATTGCTTTTGTGGAAATAAGTTCCCCTACCTGCTACCCTGCACACCTACAAAAAACCTTGAATATTTTCGAAGGACCTTTGGGTCAAGCCCCAAATACTCTTGGGTTTGGCCCAAGACACTCATCTCCCCACGACACCAGCGAACCATCGCGCAGAACGGCAGCGAAGGCGCAGTCGTTGGCATGCAGGGATACCACGTCCTGGACACCGTTTAGGGTTTAGGGGTTGGGCTTTGGAGTTTGGGGTTTTTAGGGCTGTCCCTGATGTTTTGCCTACGGTTGATGGATTAGATCTTGCACTGCCTGGGCCCTTGAAGAGTTTGAGGGACTGCAGGTAGTGCAGGCTTTCCTCCATCAACATCGACAGTAAGCTACAGAATGGACACTAATGTAGGGATTGGTATTCGTAAGCGAAAACAAATATAGGCCTACATCGATGGAGACACTCCCTAGAAGAATAACGGAGGGGCTCGGTAGGGTTGCGGTGGCACGGCGCCGGGATCAAAGAAGCAGCTGCAGGTATTTTACTGATTGCTCTGTGTGTAGCACCAAAATTCCTCCATGGCAAATGAGCTAGAGTCTAAACTCCTTAAAGGGGGTTTATGGGGGTGAAATAGGGAAGTATTATATAGGCTATACAGGGGCATACTAGGAGTTCAGACCATAGCTCATGTGATGTGGAAGGGGTGTCGGTGACCAAAAACCTTAAACCGGTAGGGACCTACTACGACTGAATAAGCACAGCGCTGCACAGAAAATACGAGATACCGTGTCTACGCACTTCCACCCTGGACTTCTAACAACTAACAGGGCTTAGGATTTAGATTATGATTTAGGGTTTAGGGTCTGGGGTTAAGGGTTTACGGCGTAGTCCCAAACCTTGAACTCCGAAGCCCAGAACCCTTAATCCTATAAACCCCAAGGCCCTAAACCCTATAAACCTTGCGCCCTGTAAACGCCAAAGTCTGAACCCCATAACCTCAAACCCTGAACCTTATAACCTCAAATCCTAAACCCTAAAGCCTCCACCCTAAACCCCAACCCCAAAAACCTTTAAATCCCAAACCTCAAGCATGGGGTCCTTCAATCGCGCTTGGACCTCCGACGAGTTGCCGCCGAACTGTGCTTCGCCCCAAGACACCACGGAACCATCGGACTGGAGTCGTCTTTACCCAGGTTAAGGGTTTAGAGTTGGGGTGCAAGGTTTAGGGTTATGGGGGCTTGGGATTTAGGGTTTCGGGTTTTTGGGGTTTGGGGTTTGGCGTTTAGGGTTTAAGGTCTGGGGTTAGGGATTAGGTGTTTGGGATTTTAGGCGGGTTAAGGTTCAGGGTGTGGGTGCGGGGTTGTGTATGAAGAATGGAGCATCAACTGGAAAAAGAAAAAGCAAAGTGGCAAAAAACTAAGTTTACACAGGTGTTCTTCATGGGTAGAGCTTCGGGCTAAGGAATTTCCAGCTCTGGGTCAAGGTTTCAAGGTTTCGGGTTTGGGGTGTTTGGGTGTGGAGGTTTGGCTGAAGGTATCTTGGCATAGATTCAACCCTAAACCCTGAACCCTTTACCGATTTGTTAGTAGATGTTGGTTTTCAGTAGCTACCCTAAACCCTGAACCGGTTTCCTGTTGCCATGTAGGAAGCCTGGCAGTGGCACTGGGTCCAACCCCAGCTCTGGATCGCCACAATCCTTTAGGTAAACAAACACCTTTGAATGGTGACTACAAGAGGGACAAAGGTGATTATGCTAGGTCCTATTAACTATTAACACCTAATATAACGCACTAGTACAGGGTGGGGGGTGTTCAAGCTAACGAAGCCCCCGGGACAGCAAGGTGCTTGCGCTTTCAAGGGCTCGGGCTGCTTCAGGACAAGCTGAAGATGGAATCGCGTACTCTCCTGAAAGAATTCTACCAATCAAAAAATCCGCCTAATCCTCGACGAACTTTCAACATTGCCAACAGCTACCCCCAAAACCAGGACATGCAAGCTAACCTGAGCTCTAGAGCCCTTCACCCACTGAGCCCTACAGTCTTTAACCTCCCAAAACCCTACCGTGCCCCAAACTCACATGGAACCTTCTTTGCAGGACAGTGGTCCTGGGTCCTCTTAGGCATTCCCTGAACCCCCCCCCCCATTTTTGGGGTTCCATTTGTGCTCTATCTACCCTGCATCATCCCTCCATCTCAAAAGGTAATATGGCACCATGTACAAATGTATACGTATCTGGCTTAGGATTTAAGACATACATATGTCCACGTGTATACATATCCCGAAAGCCTAAACCCTACAAGTTATCAGCCCTGAAAGCCCAAGCATCCCCGCCTTCAAGGCAGCAAAGGCAGCTTCAGTTGCCTTACTGGATTCAGGGTTTCGGGCTTAGGGTTTAAGGTTTAGGATTCAGAGCTCAGGGTTTAGGATCTAGGGCTTAGGGTTTAGGATTCAGAGTTAGGGTTCAGGATTTAGGGTTTAGGGTTTAGGGCTTAAAGCTTGCAGTTAAAAGCTTAAGGATAAGGAAGCCCTTCAGGCACTCCGTGTGAATTTGGCTCTTGTTCGGAGACCTCACGGGCACCCTGATAGGGTTTAGGGCTTTCTTAGGGTGTCCATTGTTCTGGGTCCCAAGCGGAAAACGAGATGGAAGCTTCGAAGTTGCTGTAATGTGCTGTAAAAATCTCCTGGGTTTAGGGTTTACGGGTTTAGGGTTTAGGGTTTAGGGTTTAGGGTTTAGGGTTTAGGGGGTTGAGGGGTTTAGGGTTTAGTACGGGAGGTGCTTATTTAGGATGTGGGGTTTAGGATTAAGGCCTTGGGATTGAGGGATTCATTGGGTAGGCCAAAACACTGGACGTTACTGCATTATCTCAGGCTTGGGGTTTAGCATGTAGGATTTACTGTTGAGGGTGTTGTTCTTCAAAGGCGGTAGCTTCATTTTCTTGCCCATTCCCCATTCTCAACCGTATGAAGGGTTGTCAAAATCATGGTCCAATTTTGGGTACCCTAAACGCTAAACCC